TGGTAAAATGCGTGACAAGTGATCAGCAACTACATTTTCAGAACCTTTCCTATCTTTTATATCAACATCAAATTCTTGCAGTAACAAGATCCACCGGATGAGCCGTGGTTTGGATTGAGTTTTGCTCAAAAGGTACTTCAAAGCCGCATGGTCAGAGTGAATAATCACCTTAGAACCCAAAATATATGATCGAAATTTTTCAAGAGAAAAGACCACGGCTAGAAGTTCCTTCTCGGTGGTAGTGTAATTCTGCTGGGCCCCATTAAGAGTCAAGCTAGCATAATAAATCACTCGAAGCAACTTATCAACTCGCTGACCCAAAACGGCGCCCACTGCAAGATTAGACGCATCACACATGATTTCGAAAGGAATAGACCAGTCATGGGCAATCACAATAGGGGCACTCACAAGCTTGCTCTTTAATTCATTAAAAGCACACAAACAAGCATCATCAAAAACATATGGCACGTCCTGAGCAAGCAAATGACATAGAGGCTGACTAATTTTAGAAAAATCCTTAAATGAAACGCCTATAGAACCCCGCATGCCCCAAGAAACTCCTAATCCCCTTAACATTCACAGGAGGGGGAAGCTTTTCAATTACATCTACCTTAGCTTTATCTACCTCAATTCCCTTGCTAGATACAACATGACCTAAGACAACTCCACTCCTCACCATAAAATGACTCTTTTCCCAGCTCAAGGTCAAATTAGACTCAATGCAACGCTCAAGGACACGAGATAAATTACGGAGACAATGAGAAAATGAATCACCAAATATAGAGAAGTCATCCATAAATACCTGCAAGCAGTCCTCAAGCATATCCGAGAAAATGGAGAACATGCACCTCTAAAACGTACCCGGTGCATTGCAAAGGCCAAAGGGCATCCGTCTGAACGCGAAAGTACCAAATGGGCACGTGAATGTCGTCTTGGGCTGATCCTTGGGTGCTATGGCTACTTGATAATAGCCGGAGAGCCCATCCAAAAAGCAGTAGAACTGATGGCCCGAAAGACGATCAAGGATTTGGTCAATAAACGGCAATGGAAAGTGGTCCTTCTTGGTCACAGCGTTCAGTCGTCTGTAGTCGATGCACATACGCCACCCGGTAGTGATGCGAGTGGGGACCAACTCCTTCTTGTCGTTTTCGATCACGGTTATGCCTCCCTTCTTCGGCACCACATGAATAGGGCTTACCCACTCACTGCTCGCCACCGGATATATCAATCCCTCGGAGAATAACTTCAGCACCTTTTTCTTTACTACCTCCATCATATTCGGGTTTAGCCTTCGCTGGCTATCCCGAAAAGGCTTGGCTCCATCCTCCAAGATAATCCGGTGCATGCAAGTAGTGGGACTAATCCCCTTGATGTCTCCTAGGCTCCACCCGATTGCCTTCTGGTTCTTTCTGAGCATGGATATCAGCTCCTCTTCTTCTTCACTGTCGACCTCAGCATAGATGATCGCCGGCTTCTGATGGGAATCATCCAAGAAAACATACTTAAGGTGCTTGGGCAGCTTCTTAAGCTCAAGTGTGGTCTCAGCTCGGGTATGGCCTTCTCCTACTTCAAAAAGTTCCACTATAGGCTCTTCCTCTTCCTCAAAAGCCGGCGACAGTACGTCTTCGAACTCCTGAAATACCATCTCATCCACAAAAGGGTCAGCAACATCAATAAAAGCACATTCTTCTATGAAATTTACCGAAGATGAAGACATGGCCTCCCGGACAGAAATAGACACCGACTCCCCCAGAACCGTCATATTCAGAGTACCATTCTTCACGTCAATGAGGGTATTAGTCATCGCCATGAAAGGTCTACCGAGAAGGATGGTGTGATCCTTCCCATTCTCGTGCACATCCTCGACGTCTAGAACGACGAAATCCACTGGAATGATAAGCTTTCCTACCTTCACGAGAACATCCTCGACTATCACCTTCGGGTACCTGATGGAACGGTCTTCTAACTGAAGGCACATGCGAGTCGGCCTCAAATCCCCAAGGCCAAGCCTCTGAAAAATCGAAAAGGGCATAAGATTAATTCCGGCCCCGAGGTCGAGCATCCCCGAAGCTACCTTCCCGTTCCCCAAAGCGATCTGGATAATGAAACCACCGGGATCTCGTTCCTTCTTGGGCAAGTCGTGCTGCATAGCACTTGCCGCCTCATACACGACCACCTTCTCTCCATCTTCGAACTTCCTCTTCTTGGTCACCAAGTCCTTAAAGAACTTACCATATGATGGCATATTCTTTATCACATCCAGAAGCGGCAAGTTGACATTCACCTTGGAGAGCATGCTGAAAAGATCTCGGAACTGCTTCTCTTGCTTCTCGTTCCTAAGTCGGTCTGGAAAGGGAATGCGCGGCTTGTACGGATTCAGCGACTTATGTAGCACCGGCTCGTCTGTCGCCTTCTCGGAATCTGCTTCTTTGATCTTTTCTGACCGAGTCTCCTGATCCTCGGGCTCGGGCATCTGCACCTTGTTGTCTACCTCCTTCCCACTTCTGAGAACTGTGATAGCTTTTG